AATGTTTTCATTAAGATGCTTTAGTGAATTTTTAGTTTTTGGTAAATTCTATAAGTTAAGAGTGTAATTTTATATTACCGATTAACTACAGTCTTTCTAAAATGAGAAATGGACATTTAATTTTATCAAATCCCTTACCATTCTATGGAGATGATCACTTGGTTTTTTCTTTCCCTAATCTGATACTGTACTGAATTACATTAATAGATATCTCAGTGTTAAAACCATCCTTCCCTATCTGGCATAAACCCTACAGGAACATCTAACTCTCTCCTATATTTCACTTCCTAATATTTTATTTAAGATTATTGCCTCTATTTTCATAACAGAGATTGCCTATGACTTTGTGTTATTCTTTTCCATGTTTGATTACAATTCATTATCAACTCGTAACAGTAAGTTTAAAGCTTTCTTAAGTTTAAAGCTAACTTCAGAGAATGGGTTGAAAGTTTTCCATCTCCTTCTATCCCCTATAATAATATATATATAAAGGAATTATCTACTCTTAGAAATTTTGGTAGAACTAGCCTGTAAATCCTATATCTGATGCCATTTTCACATGTAGATTTTTCAATATCTTATATAGTTATCATCCTATTAAGGTTCTCTACATTTTTCAAGTAAATTTACAGTTTCTCGAGTAAAATTGACAGCCCCCGAATACTGTTTTTTCTAGATTTTCAAGTCTGTCAACATAAAATTCATATTTTATTAAAAGTTTTTAAATCTCATGTTAAACAAACAAGATCCCTATCAGTTCATTTTTTTCAAGAAAACAATAAACTTTCAAACTTCTCTGAGAATATTAATCTGACTTTAGGTCTTCTACCATTTGCTCTATTATCTCTGTTCCTTAGCTATTGTTTGATCTGCTCAGAGAGTTTCATGCCCCTCTTATGATTTTATTTTCGTCAACTTCTTGGTGATTTTGCCCTGCCAGCTTATCTTTACATTAGGTGGTCCTGGTTCATTTGTCTGGGGATGTTTGTTTGTTTGCCACAGCTTGCCTCTAGAGACCATAGGAGAGGGATAGATAATGATGGCAGGTAGGTGTGCCAGTAGCTTATGCTCAGGGTATACTAACTGTCCCCCTTGAAGGTCAGTGGCCACTTCAGAACTGCCCTCCCTCCTCCTTGGTGTCACTGCCCACACTAGCATCTTCAGCACTGGAGTAAATGCCCTGGCGTCTCAGTGCTCTGCACGGGCAGCAGATGGCTGAATGGTGCAGCTGTTCTACTTGCTTCCATTGTTTTTCCACTTCAGCTTTCTCCCATTTCTGTATCAGTTGAGGATGCTGAAGGAAATGTCACTAACTCTGAAGCATCTCCTCTGTACATATGGGGCTGTAATTTCATCTAGTCAATAATGTATAATTTTAGATGTCATAAAATCTCTTATATACAGCATTATGGATCTTAAAATTTTGGGTCTCTTATGAGATTTTGGATGGAAGAGGAGTTATACATGTGTGCTTCATGTATTCTTTTGATAAAATCATTATTCACTCTTGCAAAAGTTCTTTCTGCTTTTTGGGGGGATCTAGTCATCCTCTGTCACCCATTCAATATGGTCTAGTTGGGTCTTCTAATAACTTATGTCACTCCTCTGGCCATGGTGATTAATTGAAAGGTGAAACATGACACAAGCACAGACAATAATGTTAATATTGGGAGGAAGAATGTCTCTCTTTTTTGGATTTGCTAAACTGAGGCTGCCTCTTTCGTGTCTCCCACCAATTGGAAGAAGCCTATCTATAGCATAAGGGAGTGAGGCCCTTCAGGAAAAGGAAATGAAAAAAGTCTAGGAGAGATGATGAGAGACTGAGACATGTGCATGCATGCCCACACCCACACAAACACACACCCACACACACTCAATACATTGTTGACTACTGAGATCCAGTTGACTCCAGTCCAGTTCACCCTCTATATTTGCCAGTTAGTGATTTAGTAATATATTCTCCCCCCTTTTTATAAATTGAACTATTTTGTGTGGAATTTCTTTCACTTGAACCAAAAAAATATAATATACTTTCGGGCTCACTCATTCACAACCTTGAGATTTCCTCTTAGATTTCACTTGTTCCTAGAATTCCCCCTGTATTGTAACTACTTATTTATTCATCTCTCTTCTCTCATTTGACAGCAAACTCCCTGAGAACAAGAAACGCTGCTTGTCATTGTGTATCCCTGGAACTTATCACAAGGCTTAGAGCATAAGAAGAACTGGATAATATATGCTGACCAAATGAATAAATAATTGTTATAGCTATATCATTTCACCTTAGTAGATGCCTGGCAGTAGATACCTGGGTAGAACTATGACTGTGGGTATCTGCCAGAGTTTTTGATCGACAACATTGCTAATATCCAATAGGGTTCTTTGTGTGCAATCATTCAACATTTCTTGTAGTTTTCAGATAACAAAAGCAAGAACATAGTAGTTTTCAGGTTTATAGGTGGGTCCCTAGGCCACAGAAAGTATATATACCCTAAGAAGATACTGATTCCCTTACAATTCTTCTGTCTGTGGGTGTGTGGTCTAACTGCATTGTCAAAACAACAGACTTGGAGAGCTCCTGGCTTGGGTGACTAGTAGGGAGTCTTCATCACTATAAATAGAGTGAGTGACACTTAACACTTCATCCTTTAAGATAGCTACAACTACAGGTATCTGCTGCCTTTGTCTTCTGCTCCGTTCTGCTACTATTTTGGCTCATTCTGTTTGTTTACTGCCTTTTTCAACATGTATGATATGCAAACTGTTTAATAAACTACAAAACATGCTGCCTATAGAACTGTATCTACTAGAAAGATTTCTAGATCATGAAAGATCTCAGGTCAAGAATAATGACTTACTGAAAATGTGCCTCTATGATCTACGAATGACATGAAATTTCTTGAAAAAAGGTGAGTAGAAATAACTAAAAACAACTGCTAAATTCAAAAATACAAAATCAATTTTATTTAAACTAAAACCCAAGAAAATCATGAGTATGATTTATTTATGTTGTCTATTAATAATTAAAATTAATATTTAGCAATTATTCTTAGAGACAATTTATGTGTTTTGTTATAACCATCTATCCGCAATTAAGAAAGAAACGAAATTTTGTCAGTGTTTTTTAACTTGAATGCTTGCCTAAGAGTTAAATATAGAACATTTATGTGGTCACTGTGTGGCCCTTATTTGGTCCCAGAGCCCTGAGGTCAGCATGAATAATCACATTAGTAGGGCAGGCCTCTGCTTCCTTCATGAAAAGTTGTTAATTAAAAAACAGGTATGTGCACCAAAGGTTACCAGACACTTCTGTAATGCCATAAAATATTGTAGTATAACACCAGCTTTGCTTAATCCTTTAAAATTCCATGAGTGATCTAATTCGTGAAGACCCAGTAGCTTTTCCTTAAGGATTTTTTTATAGCTCTGGTCAGCTTGGGGAAAATACAAAAGACAATGGAAAATAAATAAGCCAATCCTTGTCTACTTTCTCCATTTTATCTTTCCATAAGCATAAATGTCACCTAAATATATCCTTACAACAGAGAAGAAAGGCACGATTGTGCAGTTAACAAAGGGAAAAGGGAGTTCTTTATGAATTTTTTTCTTGATGATTCTAAATATCTACTTATGCTGCTGCTGAAGCCACTATCATTTCCCCAAAATTCTGCTGAATGATGAGATAGGATTGTATTCCAAACAGATAATGACTGCAATGCTGTCACATTATATGATGTAATTCTGAAATGGAAAAGTTTTCAGTGAAACTTTGTCAAGTGACACCTAATTTAAGCTACAGTATGAGGAGACTGCAAAGAAGAAATTTTAAGGAAAGTCAGAAGCAAAAAGGGTTCCTTGTTCTCCTTCAGCTTATTTAAAAGGCCAGCATTAGAACAAGTACCCAAATGGAGAGTGAGACATGGTGACTGAGGGGTTTATGAAGTAAGCAATTTATAAACTCCAGAATAACAATACTATGGAAGACAGAACAGTTGGCACATTCCACCTGGTTTTTTAATATCAGGAAAATTATACAGATAATGTATACATCCCCTTATTCCCTGTTTACTCCTGACCATGGCCACTCCTATCTCATATTTCTAGGCAATATAGACCCCTCAAATAGTTGAGAATCAAAGGAGCACTTTTTATGGCATCTTTACCCTCCTCAAAATGTTCTCTTACCCAGGTTTCATTTCTAGTAATTATAAATATGTAATATTTATACATAAACATATGTAAGGCTATTCAAAAGTATCTTTACATAGACCATTTCTTATAGAACTGCTATTGTACACTCTGTCACTGAATCACTAATGTAGTATTAAGAGGGGGTCCTGCATTATACTATATGCTGTGTAGAAAAATAGCACATGATCCTTGCCTTCAAGGAAATTACAGTTGGATTATGTTAACTATATCAACCCACAGGAGAAATTAGAAAACCATATGACATGGGACAGATTTACATGCTTATTGGTGTGCTAAGAGCAGCCAATATTCAGCAGAAAGAGATCAATTGGAATAAAGTAATAGAATGTGATTAAAGAGTCGGTCTAAACCCTTCCTTTGAGATGCAATACAATTAAGGAAGGTTTGTTTCACTGAGGAAGTGGGATTTGAATTAGGCCTTAAACAATGAGTAAATTGAAAATAAATGCGAAACTAGAAGAGATTTAACTGAATTAATTTACCTCACTTTTCCTAATTTTATTTGTAGGAAGATGTACATACCCTCTCCAATTGAGCTTTGTCAAATAATCCATAAATACATAAAGTATACGTGATCAACAATGCCTTTAATGCCAAAGACAGCGTATTTTCTTAATCCAAAGCTCACTTTATGTAATTATTCTTTTTGCAAACTACTAGTTGGCTATATTAACACTTGAGTAATCTTGACAAGAAGTTGCTTTAAGCAGTTAAAGATCCAGATGCTGATCAGTGTGCATTAAGTGATTCAGACTAATTGGTTCCATCTAGATAAATTACTTACTTACCTCAGTTCCTATCAAGATTTCTTCCCTGGCAGAGTAGAACAGAAACTCATACAGCTTGTAGTGCTGAAATAAGCTGAAATACAAAGTAAATGTGGAAAGCTGATAAGTGTGTTTCAGGAAAAATGGCAAATATGTAAGAATATTTATTAAAGGAAAGTTGTTCATATTGACGAAGCTAAAGATGTTAAACACTAATATGGAGTTAGCCACCTCCTTTACTCCCAAATAAATTGCCCAGAAATGCTAAGAAAGTAAAGGTTATTTTTTTGAGACACTGACAATATAACACAGTAGCTAAATTAATATCAGTAAATTAATCTGTCATGAGTGGATAGGTTTGGGGTAAGGGAACAATTAGATTTCATCTTAACTTTACTTGGCTCACAACCAATAACGCACTTTCCTTGAGTAACACCAAACTTCACATTCTTTTTCATATTTTGCTCCAAGCTACAGTCAATTCCCTCTGGTATTAATGGCACTGAATTCTATAGTCTACTTCCATATCAATTACTTCACATGTTCTCAAACTGTTTCAAGAGTAAATTAATCTGTTAACATCTGAAAAAAGATGCAACATGAACTGAAATACTTTTTAGAAGACGTGTGATTTTCTTGAAGAATATTTTATTATACATCAAAGAGATGACTTAATATAAGAAAGAAAGACAGGCATATGTAGAATAGATATCAAGATTATACTGTATAGCAACACGGAAATATATACAAGAACTTGTGGTAGCTCACAGAGAAAAAAAAAGTGACAATGAATATACGTATGTTCATGAAAAATTGTGCTCTACACTGGAATTTGACACAACATTGTAAAATGACTATAACTCAATAAAAAAAGTTAAAAAATAAGAAAGATAATTTCTTCAGTTCCTACCCTAAAGACTAGGTGGTCAGTATATAAAAAGTATAAAGATCCAAGAGATAAGAATTCCTTAAAAATATGTATATTTCTAGTAAGTTTAGAGATCTCAGCAATGTGTTATTGAGAGTTAAAAATTTACTGAAGGGTTGACTTTTAATATCCTGTTTGTGATAATATTTGAATTTTTCTAATTCTCTTCCTGCTGGTTGGGAAAATTAATTGACTCATAATACAGCAAAATGCTGAAGAACAGAAAATTGTCTTGGTGGTTTCTCTTTCACTCTGGTGACTTTTGCTATTTAAGAAAATTGATTTTAATATAACTGAGAAATTAACATTTGCAAAATGTAGCTACAGAGCATGTATAATAATAGTTTTTCCTGAATGCTGTAATGGATCAAAGTTTCAATTCATTTGAAATCAATGAAGAAATCCTCAGGCAGCTGGGTCTCTCTGAGTTATATTAGCAGTTGATCTCACTACTAACACAATTCATTAAAAAGTGATGGGTGGTGTGCAGACTCAGTCACAGGGTTTTTGGGTTTTGGGGGAGAAAAAAACGCTCATACATTCAAATTAGTCATTAACATTCAGAAAACTAACTTAGCTTTTGACATTACTTTGATTTGTTGGCTAGAAAATACGTCAAGATTAGTGAAGTTTGATGATTCAATGAAGCAAAATAAATTCAAACTCTCCTTACATTGGTTACCTAGAGAAAGCTTTAAGGTTAAAAATATTACACTGGCAATAACTGACTCTGAGTAGAAAAATTAAAGACTGTAGAGTATTCGGAAATAGCTTGGCTTCTTCTCAGTTAACAAGTGTAAAATTTTCCTTTCCACATCTTGTGTCACACAATGAAGTTAATTCATAAATCTTCCTTCCTGCAATTTCATAATCTTTCAGCCTTATTCTCCTCATTGCATACAGGAATTAGATTGTAATATGCTAAAAAAGAAATTCACTTCTTACAATGAAACGAAAACGCATGACTCGGATGCAGTGGTGAAAGATGCAAAGCTGGGCAAGGCCAGGACTATGGTGAGACAGACAGGCGGTGGTGGGCACCTAAGAGGCACTTACTCAGAGGCAGGTCAAGCCACCTCCACTGCCTCACTCTGGTCCACACCACAGCTGGGATTCTCTAAGTTTACCAGTGAG